CTTCTCAAAGAAGGAGCTCTTTGATTCATTAATTCTTAGCATTATTTTTGTTTCTACTTCATTAATTTCTGATCCATTTTTTAAATTTCTTTAAACCCACTGGTTTAGGTTTGTTGTATTCTTGTTCTTCTAAATCCTTCAGTTCCATTGCTTGTGCTTGTCTGATTTTTCAACCTTGACCCTGTCTGAGGATTAGGATGAATGCAGGTGGTTAGGGTTATGCAGAGAGACTTCTTATTTGTTTTACTGATGGTGGTTATTCTCATTAGCATGAGAAGGAATTTTAGTTTTAATTATTATTTCTATGGTGGTTTAAGATGTTTAATATTTTCAAAAGTATTTATGGGCCATTTCCTCTTTTGAGAACTCTGTTGAAATTATTGCCTTCTTCACTGATTGGCAATTTGGGGGCTTGGCGTTTAATTTTGAAGTTCCTAATACAGTCTAGCTACTAATCACTTGTCTGAAGTATAGATGGCAAAGATAATCCTATTTGTCATTTCTTAGGATTATTTCCCATTCTATTGGGGTTCTATTCAGAATTTTTTGTCTATATCTATGTCTTGAAGTGTTTGTTTGTATTTCTTTAACAATTTCATTGTTTCCAGTTTAAATTAAGGTTTTTGATACGCTTTTAATAGTTTTGTGCTAGGTAATATGGATCTAATTTAATTCTACAGGTGGATATCCATTTTTTAGGAGTACTTGTTGAACAAGCTTTCTTTATCCAGCATATGATTTTGTTTTGTTTTGTTTTGTTTTACAAATTTGTCAAAACTTAGGTGTCGATACATGTATGGTTTATCTTACTACATGGTGTTTGTCTACATGTCTGGTTTAGTGCCAGAATCTTTTATTTATTACTATGGCTCTGGAGTATAGTTTGAGACCAAATAGTGTAACCCCTCTGTCTGTTCTTTCTGCTTATAATGATCTTTGGTATTCCCATACAAGTTTGTGAGTTTTTTCTAGTTCTGTGGAGAATACCTTTTGGATTTTTGTTAAGATTGCATTGAATTTGTAGATTGCTTTTGGTAGTATAGCTATATTCCCAATACTAATTCTGCCAATCTGAAACATGGACAGTCTTTCCATCTTCTGATGTTTTCTCAGTTTCTCTTTTTAGTATCTTAAAGTTTTTTCTTAGAGAGTTCTGTTATCTTCATTGCAAGGTGTATTTCTAGGGTCTGTAAAACATTTTAAAGACTATTTTAAATGGACATATTTCTTGGTCTCTTTCTTGGAAACTTGGTTGTCGATATGCGTAAGAGCTGCTGATTTTCGCATGTTGATTTTCTGTCCTGGTACTTTACCAAAAGTATTCATCAGATCCAGTGTTTGCTGGAGCCATGGTTTCCTAAAAGCATGGAGTCATGCTTTAACTTTTTCTTCCCAATTTTTATCCCTATTATATTTTTCTTTGTCTTGGTAATTTGGCTAAGACTTTGACCACTGCATTTAATAAGAGTAGAGAGACATGACATCCTTGTTTTAGAGAAAATGGTCTCAGTTTTCACCATCTAGAGTAAAGCTGGCTACACTTTATGACATTAGTGTTTGTTCAGTTGACTCCTGGTTTCTTCAGGACTTTTATCGTGAGGGCATGATGAACTTTGTCAAATGCCTTTTCTGCATCAATTAAGATCATGTGGTTGCTGTCTTTAAGTCTATGTGATCTGTTTATTGAATTAGTATGAACTAATTTTTCATCCCTGGTATGAAACTTATTAGTAATACATGATCTTAATGTGTTCTTGAATATGTCTTACTAGCATTTTATTGATTCTTGATAATGTTCCTTCCCTTTATGACCTGTGGAACAGTGAAGTGCTGGTGAATTTGGTAAAATACAACAATGGAGTCAACCAGCCTTGGAGTTTGCTTTATTGCTTTAATCTACTTGCTTGTTTTGGACTTGTTTATGTTGTTGATGTCTTGTGGCTTTAATTCTGTAGGTCATAGGCATTTAGAAATGTATCAAGTTTTTAAAATATTCATTTCCAAAGTATTATGTGGTGATACATTAGATTTCATTGGAATCTGTTATAAAAACTCTCTTCTGCTTTTATTTATTGAGTCCCCCCACCCCCTGGTTAATTTGGTAAGGAGTTTGTCAATATTGTTAATTTAAAAAAATCAACTGTTTGGTTAACTCTATATATTGTTCATTTAGTCTTTATTTCATTAATTTCTGTCCTGATTTTTCTTATGTCTTATAATTTGATGCATTGGCTTTGGCTTCTTCTTGCTTACCTAGCATTCTGAGAAATGTAGTGAAGTTTCTTTTACTCGAGGCTCCTCCCACAGGACCACTCCTGTTTTCCCCTTATGATCACTTGGCCCTGGCCTCCCTAAAGTGTATGGGATCACTATTATTTTCCATTTCTCTTATCCTATCATTTAAAAAGGATATAATTTACATGGCACAGAATTTAGCCTCTTAACAGACAATTCAGTGATGTCTGTCATATTCACAAACCTGTGCAAATTTCACCACCGTGGAGCTACAGAAATATTTAGGTATCACATATCCATTAGCAATCATTCTGCAAAGATTCCTATGCCCAACTCAAAAACTCCTGGCAACAGCTGATGATGGCAGTGACTTAAGTTATGGAATGGAGAAACGGGATGTTCCAAGTTAGTTACAGGACGTGGGGAGCTACACTCCGATTTGAAAATAAACTTAGTATAGGTAAAGATGAGTATTGGAAAATATATGGCAATCATAATAAAATAAAAATGACAGGATGCTTCACATGCAAACAGAATGTAAAGCAGAATTATATAAAATGCCAATTAAAATAAAAAATGGCAGAAGGATCAGCAGACACACACAATGGCTAGAAAACAACTGTGAAATGTGTTGAATTTGTGAAAGAAATTGGAAAGTTACCAGAATCAAATGGAGTCACTTTTGTCAAATTCAAGAAAAAATAAAGTAGGACTTGTTTGTGTGATTGGCTGCTAATAAGTATCATCAAGGACTGCACAAAGGCTACAGTAACTTCATTCAAAGTCTCCACAGGGACATCTGTCGTAGGTGCCTGTTAAACCTCACACTGACACCACTTGTGTTGTTAAGACTTTAACTGGACAACTGTTCCATGGTTCTGAGATAAGACTTCTTTTTCTTTGAAAACCTCTTAGTTCCTATTTGCCCAGCCCTGAGCCATAGGAGTCCTGCATGTGCCCCATAGCCATGACTCAGCCAGTGTCTGATACAGAAGGAGCCCTAGTAAGTGTTCATAGTAAGGGAGCCCGGACATATTCCTGTCCATTTTAGTGCCTTCTCGGAGCTTCAGCTACAGGAGGAATTCAGCTGCTGGAGGCTGGGCATCCACAATAGCTGGCCCGAGGCTGCTACATCCTTTCTGCAACTCCACAAGAGGCAGTTCAGAGTCATTTACCCAAAACAAAACTGTATGGAAAGTGAAGGCACTGGCTACACAAGCACGTGAGAGCCCGTATCTGTCCAGGAAAAGGGTAGAGTGGGCCCAGTGAGTTCTCAGATACAGTGTTAAGCCAGAAGGGTTGTACCCAAGAGGCCTCTGAAATCAGATTGTTACACTGGTACAGATGCAAGCTAAAACTAAAAGTACTGGTCCTGGCAACTCTCTAAGCCACTAACAAGGCCAGATATCAACTGGGAAAGTATCAGCTGGCCTGTGTGCTTTATAATGAAACTTTGGAGAGAACCAGCATAAATTACATTGATTTATACTGGCTAGAAAACAGTGTGGAGTGAACAAAGCCTTGGGTGTGAGATGATCCATCGGAAGAGTTAGTTGCTAAGTAATTGAATGGTTCTGAAGGCACAACACAAGGTCTTCTGGTGACTGATCCTCCACACAAATGAACTGTGGAACAGTAGTTTTTCTTTTATTTTTTGCTAGCTTAGTAATTAAACTCTTATCTCTTCCATCCCTCCATCACAGATCAGTCTCAGACTTTATTTGGATACTTCAGAATTCTTGCCAACAGTCATGAGCTGTGTTAATGGCGTGGCTTCAGTAACTGTCTGAAGTCAATTATAATGAATCAACATTCTTACTGCCTAGTGATGCCATGACTATGGAAACTTCTTAGCACAACATACCTTCCATATATTTCTGGTGATGTTGGTATCAAGCAACCCACTGTACTGACAGTCACAGGACAGCAGAGCAGAGTCTGTAATCTCAACTGAGAGAGGGGACCATGAAGTCACAGCCAGCCTGGGCTGCATAGTGAGTTCCTAGCTGTGTGCGATGACGTTACCCAAGGCAGAACTAGTGGAGGTGTGGTGGGTGGGAGGAGTTCACTAAAGGAGCACACTGAGTGTGAACAGTAGACTTCCCTGCTAAGTCCTCCAGAGGCTCCAGCTCAGAAACCGTCAATGGTCACCACTCCTCTCTGTCCTGCTTCCCACCGTGTTAGGGTGGTAAGCCCTGTACCTGAGGACACATTCGTTTTTATGATTCCCATGTGACGGCTGCTGGTCCCAGAAGTCTGCTCCTCTCTCCTCATTGAACCAAAGCCATCCAGGGACTCTGCTCTCTAATGGCAGGCTTAGGGCCGTGTGCTTTTCTGATTAACACTGGCCCCTGGAGTAGGCCTTAAGCTTCATTGACTCCAGGACTTATGGCCTCTGGTTGTTGTTGTCTAACTTAGCCTTGTTAACCCTCCAGCACAGAACGTTCAGCGACCATTTGGGAGTAAATGACCAGGGGCCTTTGCGTTAATAATTAAATATATTCACTAGAGCATATACAATCTGTCCCTGGGAAAATTCTGCTGCTTTTAATAAAAAGATGTTTTTCTTCCCATACATGTTTTTAGTTACAAATGTAGTACTTTTTTTTTCTTTTGAGAGTGGTGATTTGGGGGTAATGACAGTCCGTAACATCAGTTTTTAAATTGTTTCTATGACTCTGATTTTGAAAAGTAATCAATTGTTGAGTCATCACTGGGTTATAAACAGGAAGCAAACTGGCTGAGCCCAGGAGGAGAATCTGGGAGGAGACTGGGGTTCAGATATTGTCTGTGGTCTTGGCAACTGTGTCCCTCTCCAGTACTTTAGAAAGAGTAAGTAGTAACAGCTGACTCCATACATCCTCTAGGTATGTGACATAGATTTATTATAATTTTGGAACCTAAGAATTTTATACTTAAGTTAACTCTGTTAAGTAGTACATATTTTACTTCAAAATATATTCTTTTGTTATGGTCCCTTTGATTGTCATAATAAAATTAATACATTACTATGCCGAGAAATTCAGAAAGTAATAAAAATAAATTTCATGTAATCACATTATTTGGGAAAATAAATCTACTTCATCTGGTTTTTGATGCCATGGTTCTTGATGCCATTTTGTGTTTTTATACTTAATATTGTGATATAAGATGCTTAAGGCCATTTAGTATTCTATCACGTATAATTGTATATAGTATTCTATCATATATCATTTTGTGTTATTTAAAAAATAATGCTCTTTTATTATTATAAAGTAGATAGCAAAGGATATTTTTACAAAAACATTCTCTATCTAGTTATCATCTGTCTGTCTGTCTATTAACCACCCATTTATTAATTATCTCTCTTCCCATCTACCTTCTATCTTCCTGTTAACATGAACTGTTTCGTGTAGCTCTGCATATTGAATTGTAACACAACTTTATATATAAACAGACTATAATATATCTACTTTTGTACCGAATAGCCACGTCTCAGCCAGTCATAAGCACCACTATTCAAACTAGTGCAAATAAGCCAGGTGCAAGCTGTAGGCACCAGGACTGTCTGTACACATCTAAATTCCTGTACATCTCTTTATTTTCTCTGCGTGTGCTTCGAACACATGTCATAGAGTGAAGCATTCTCAGCCATTTTGATCTGTACTTTGTTTTAATTCTAGAACCACAAATAAAACCAGTTAACACCTGTGAAACTTGATCTAATGTAATTCTGTCTTTTAATATATCTGTATCTTTCATAACAATCTTTCTTAAGACAAATTCCTCAAAATGAAGTTACTGGATCTAAAAACGGAAACTGTTTAAAGGTCACAGTATAGTTTTCATTGTAAAAATTCCTAATCCCATCTTCGCATGTACTAACTCAGACAATGTAATGTGGGAAATTGCTGTCACTCTCAGTTTCAATGTGTACTTTTTGCTTATTATGCTTTTTTGTGAGTTATATCATCCATATTCTTCATTTACTTATCTATTATTTTGTTAGATTGCATAATGCTTTTTATGTTAAGAATAGCACTATGAAACATCCATTTTGACATTGTTTGCATTTCAATCCTATGTATTTTTAAATTATAATAAACAATATATATTTAATGTGTGATATTTGATACCTATTTATCTCTTGGGAATCAAATATCTGTCTCCTGATTCTATGACTTGTATTTTAACTCTGTTTACAGTGTCTTTCATAAGTGGAAGTTTCCATTTTTTATGCATGAGATGTTATTTCCAAGAACATGGACTACTTGTCTTTGGCTGAAACTTGTCCCCAGTACCATTAATTGCCAACTGTTTCTCAGGAAGGGCTGGGCATCATGGACTTCTTCCTCTTTCCTGATAAAATGGGCCCAACCTTGTGCAGGTCTTGTGTAGGATACCACAGATATGTGAGCTCATGAGTGCAAAGGCAGTGCCATGTCTAGGAGATAGCTTTTGCAGCACACCATCTTATCCTCTGACTCTTACGTTATTGTCATCCTTTCTTCCATGTTTCCTGAGCCACGGGGGATAATATGATACAGGCATCTTGTTTAGGGCTGAGCACTCTGCCATCACTTATTGTTGGCATTCTGACCAGCTCTGGACCTCTACACTAACCACCATCCATAGCTGTAAGACGCTTCTCCAGGGAAGTCTATATGCCGCGCCGGGCTTGGGGGGGGGATGTGAGTATTAGACGGCAGTTTAACAACATGTCCTTGCTGAAACATTAGTAGTAAGTTCTCCTTTAATGCCAGTGACCTCCTCAGGCACTGGCTCTTCACCAGGTTTATAGTACCATTCATGGATCCTTTCTTGTGGGGGTGGGCCTCAAATCCTATAAAAAAGTAGATGGTCGATCTCCTTACATCCATGTCACTATTGCACCAATGGATAGTTTGGTTTTTGCCTAGTAGGTCTGTAGTCTCAAGGTTCACAAGTTGGGTAAAGCTGCTGATGACTTTTTTTCTCTCAGCATCTGATATAACATCTTCTGATACTATGGGTCCTGGCACACAAGAAGGCAGACTCCAGATAAGTTCCAGCTTGATTTCGCTGTGTTCTGTATCCAAAGCGTGTGGTTGATAGCTTCAACATCAAATTCTAGTGGGATACCCAGAGCAATGACAGTAGTTTATATAGTTTTGGGGGTGTCTAGGGCCTCCACATTAATCTCTGCAAAGAGATATTTCTTTGATGAAGTCCAAGACTATCACTAGTCTACATCTATAAATGCAAATATTTAAGAAGCAGTTTGACAATATGTCCATTTAGAAAAAACAATACTCACAGATTTACTCCTTGTGCTATGACCTTCCAAGCTGTGTGCTTTGCCCAGAGTCACAGTATTGGCATGAACTACCTTCTGTGAAGTAAAATTTGAAGCCAAACACAGAGCAATTGGTTACTTCCATAACAGTTGTGGCATGACTGCACTGGTAAACATATCTTGCCTAAAGAGTTGGTATTGTGGTATGGCAAGGCCCAAAGCTTAGAAAGAAAGTTGTGGCCTTTCCCCACAAGCTGCCTACACAATCACTTGTGGCACTGTGAAGGCTAGCCAGAAGGGAGGAAGCTTCCATCATGTGGCTTCCTCGTGTTCTGCAACCAAGCTGCATGGCATCTTCAGAAACGGGGTCTTACTATTCTAGTTCTGGTTCATGGGTTTTGTTTTGTTTTTTGTTAGAACTGTTGGTCTGTACATTTTAATGAAGGAATTGAAAGCAAGTATATCCAGCATTATCACTAGAAATTATGTATGAATTTCTGTCATTCTGTCAATTTGAATTTGTGATGATTTGCTGAGCTGCTGTCTAGAATGCTTCACTGCTTCCTGCACCTCCATGGATGGGGTTCTTTTTCTTCAGTCTAAAGGATTTCTTCAAGTGTCTTTTGTGGAGCTGGCTTTGGTGTCCATGAATTCCTGTAGCCTCCAAATAATGAACTGTAGAAGAAAAGCTTTGTCTTCAAGAATTTCATCTTAATTTATATTGGACTGTCAATAAATATTTAAGAATAAAGATCCTTATTTTTTGTGTCAAAAGAAATGTCACAGTGTCTTTTATGTTTGTTAATATTTAGTAAAACTGGCTCTGTTTCCAAATCAATACACAGCACATTGTTTTGGGAAATAACCCCATTGTCAATTTGTCAAATGCTGTAGTTCTCTCTCTCTCTCTCTCTCTCTCTCTCTCTCTCTCTCTCTCTCTCTGTTTCTGTGTGTGTGTGTGTGTGAGAGAGAGAGAGAGAGAGAGAGAGAGAGAGAGGAGGGAGGGAGGGAGGGAGGGAAGGAGGCAGGGAGGGAGGTTGGAGAGGTTAATAACACAATGGCCTCATCTGTATTTCCTCGGTGGATTCAATATCTAGCAGCATTTTTCCTAACACTAAATCCACCCATCTCAAGACATTCTTTCTTATCCCTGGGAGGACTGTTCTCTTCTCTAGCAGGAGCCCCATGGGGAGTCTCAGATGACTGAGGTGTCGGGAAGATACTTACAAATGTTTTCCTTTGACCCCTATGAGCTCTTGTGAGCTATTTTCACATTTCTTCAAACAATTTTGGCTGGAGAAGAGGGAATGGATTTCATAGTAACTTTTAAGTCATGTCTTGGATTGCCTACAGGAGGTTGGAAAGTAGAAGGAGATGCCATCTGTGGAGCACCTCAATAGCTTCAGGACAGCTGTCTAATAGCTCTGATGTTCACGAACATTCTCCTACAAGCTTTGTTCACTGGAGTTTGCCAATGCACAGAATTTATGGTACATTCTGGAATTCACTAAAGATATGAATGGCTTTCTGAATAATTTAGTTTTTATACTACCTACAGGCATACTAATTCCTGACTTGAATTCAATGTGTTGTGGAAAATATCTTTTTCTCTATAAAATCTAATTGTCAGCAGCTTGCCAGATGGGATTTTAATCGGGAAAGTGGCTCACGGTGCCAGGACAGACATGTCCCAGAAATGTGCACTGGTTTGGGAGTAGGCAGAGATGCCAAAGTACAGTTTGTACCTATTCCATTTTCTGTGGAAATACCACATAATTGTTGGGAATATTTGTGCTTTATGTCTGAACTTTATGAGGCATTAGCAGAAATGAGTTATTCTGGAGAAATAGTAACTTTTTCTCATGGAGACAGCTATAAAACACTCATGTTGAGTGCCTAATGTATATAGTTTTCCAGGCCATTCCAGGAGTTTATTTTCCAAGGATACCTTGCTCCCTCCACTAACAATAATCTTAAATATTTATACACTTCTGCTAGTGTCCCAGACCGGAAGTTCAGTTCTGAGGTCCCAACTGATTAGTTCCAACCACTTGTCCATAAGGAAGAACAGGAAGAGATACTGGTGGCAACTCAGGAGAAGGAACTTACATTTCCTGCCTGGCCACATGGGATGGCAGGTTAAGGGCTACGTTAAGGGTATCAGCATCCTTGGGTTCCATAAGGAAAGCACTGAGGCAGGAGTTGGATGGAGATGCTGCATGGGACACATGGTCTTATTAGGGTCAGGGATATTGCTGCTGCCCAGAGAACAGTCTCCATTTTCTTTGTAAGACGTTTACACAAAAAAACTATGACTCTGAATTTAAATAATCCAAGAGAAAGAACAACTCAGAGAAGGACTGGTAACAGAGACAAACTGAAGTCCATGAGGTAGAAAGCAGAGTCCTTCTTCAGCACCTTTCAGTGGCTAGCCAAAACACAAATTCCTGAAGTGAACTATTATTTTGACAATAGTCAAATACTCTCTTTTACATCTAATCCAGGTCTGCTGATATGGTCATTTTCCTCATCTTTGTTATGTAGAAACTCTACTTGCTAAAGTTTTTTATTCAAATTGGTATTTATTTCATTATTGGAGTTATTTAATTATTAAATTTTAATAAGTTTGTATTAAGAATAAATCCAAAATGCCTGTCTAGGGAAAAGCACACCAGCTGGTTATCCAATACTATGTGATCATCCCTGAAAATACACATACAAGTAACATTCTACAGACCAAGCAGGTTGTTTTAGTAATACACATGTATATACATAATATGCATGTAATAACAATTAGTGAAAAAGAGGTCCTGAATTTGAAAGAAAGCAAGGGAGTATATGGGAGGGTTTGGAGGGAGAAAAATGAAAGGGAGAAACATTGTAATTATATTATAATATCAAAAGAAAGAAGGAAAGGAAGGAAGAAAAGAAGGAAGGAATAAAGGAAAGAGAAGGAAGGTTAGGAGCTGGGCAAGCCTGGGGAAGCAAGCCGGTAAGCAGCATCCTCTCTGGCCTTTGCTTCAGTTCCTGCCTGCGTTCCTGCTTCAACTTCTCTCAGTTATGTACTATAGGCTGTAATCCAAATATATGCTTTCCTCCCTTTAAAAATTGGGCAGCAGATCAGTACCCATCCCAAGTATACACATGGACTTTGGACTCCCATAGAACAATGTGAGGTGCACTCTCACCCTGAACTCTTGGGGAAGGGTCTAGGCCCTGCCCTATATGAAATGACAGACTATGGACACCCCCATGGAGGGCCTCACCCTCCCTGGGGGAATGAGGGGATAAGGGGGGGGTTGGGGGGAGGGCACGGGAGGAGGGGAGGGAATGGGAGAGGGACCTGGAACTAACTTGTGTAGCAACCTCGTTTCTTATCTAAATTTAAACTGGAAAATAAAAATAAAAATAAAAAAAGGAAAGTAAGCTTATGGAATATGGAAATATATTTATAAAAAATGATTCTTTGAAAAATAGATTGAGGTCTTAACTTCCTAAAAGGTGGAGTGGGATCTTGGTGAACTTCCTACCTTATAATAGCTGACATACAGCTGATTGAGGTGGGAATGAAGGTCGGAACACAGTGTTTGCTAATGTGGGGCCCTGGGTTAGACCCCTAAGATCACCCCAGACAAACAAACAAACAAAATGGGAAAAAATCTCTGAAAAACTAAAGTCAGCCATTTCAAAGTACAGTCAATAAAGGAAAATCCTAAGTGGACTTTAAAATTGTAATTCTGACAGAAACTGCTGTGGGCTGAAACTAAATATAGGTTTTGATGTTTTTAAAAATATTTTATTAATGCTCTGAGAATTTTATACAATGTACTTTGATCATGTTCACCCTAACATCCCCCCAATATAATTTAAACATAGTTTTTGATGAGGGATTTGTGATATTTTAACATGAGTTATTCTGAAAAACTTAAGAAACATTGTGCTATTAAAATCTGTTAAAAACAGGTTGATTATATAAAACATAAGTTTTATTCTCATAATTCTTGGATTTTCTAAGTAAATAATAAATTGTTCATTGAGTTAAAATTTTATTTGGGGATTGAATTCTATTGTTTTTTCTATGATCTCCTTTTAAATTTTCTGTCTTGTTGAGACCGTGGGAGGCAGAAATAGATACAATATAAGCAGTTCAATATGAAAGAAAGAGTTCATGCTGCCAACTTATATCAGTATCACACATAGAGGTCTTAGGGAAAGATAGGAAATTAAATTATATGTCTGAGTTTTGGCCAACTCAAAAATCTATGTGTTCTGGGATAACCTCACAAGAAAAACTGCAGACATGTCTGAGTGTGGTGGCACAAGCTACAACCCAACATTGGAAAATATGGTGGTTTGAGCGGGAACTGCCCCATGGGTTCACATATTTGTCTATTGGGTCCCCAGTTGGTGGAAGTGCTGGGAAGGATTAGAAGCATTGTCTTGTTGGAGGGAACGCATTGCTAGAGGCAACATTGACATTTCAGAATACACCCCCCCCCACTCTACCTCATGGTTATAGATCAAGAAGTCTACTCTCCACCATTCCTTTGCTCTGCCATCATGGACTCTAACCCTCTAAAACTGTAAGCCAAATTAAACACTTCTTTTATAAGTTGTCTCAGTCATGGTGTTCTATCACAGCAACAGAAATGTAACTAAGAAAGGCAGAGGCTAGAAAACTGGTGGTTCTAGGCTAGACTAGTCTACGTGATAAGACCCTACCTCAAAAGTAAACACATGCAATAGAAGCAGAAAAGAATCGGATGTTTGTCTAAGTCCCAAGCAGAACCTATTTGGAGGAATGATAATAGATTTCCACAGCCAGTTAGAAATATGGAACTCACGCAGAACACTTGGTTCTCCTGTCTGTTGCTGACCAACAACCCAAGTCACTCAGAGGACATAATGGCGACCAGCTTACTAGGTTCAGACATTCTGGCTGAAGAACTCAGAAGGCACAGAGCAAATTGCTGGGCTCTGGTCTGCAATGTCTAAGGCTCCTGCCATGTGAACTCAATGCCAGGAATTATCATTAGTAACTGAAGCCTATAATCACTGTATTGTCAGAGTACCTGATGTGGCCTTTCCAGGTGGCTTGCGCTCCCTCTGAAAATGTAGCTATAGGGGAGTTGGAAGTTTTCCATAAGAACTAAGGGCTGCAAGAACAAATGTCTTTAAAATGTGCTCACTTTAGTCAGTATATTGCTTGATTCTTCACATTTCTATTGCTTGAAGAAATCACAAGCAAGTCAAATTCAAGGAAATGACACAAAGGTGTGCTGATGGGAACAGCTTTTCAATAATTTGTGAACATGTTCTAAAACTGACCCTATTTAGGTTCTATTTAGTTCCTTCTCTTCTGAAACAGAAATGATCAAACCCAATGAGATCAATGCTAAATATAACTCAAAATTATTTCATAGTATAACAAATGGTGAATTGTAAAATGCTAAAATGCTATGTATGTTTATTTGTGTTTTAGATCCTTTGTCAACAACAGCCACCTGCACAAGTTAGTGGATCAGAACCTTTTGCTCATTCAGTCTCATCTAAATGTGTTATGGAGACTGCTCCCCTGAGTCAGAGCCCAGGAGTCCTGAGGGAATGATATGTCTCCTCATGTACTAGCTGAAGATTATTATAAAGATTATTGCCAGATCATTATGATTTAGGAAGCCTTAGATATGTGCAAATGCATATTACATGCCTTAAATATTTTCTATGTGGCACATATTATTAATAATTCAAGAGAAGTCATAGAACTCGGAATTTTCTTTTATTTAAGATAGACTCATAATTTTGCTCCTGCTGGCTTCTAAGGTTACTTTGTAGCCCAGACTGGTCTCAAATCCAGACTGGTCTAGATTCACTTGCCTCAGGCTGCTTAGTCCAAGGATAATGGGAGATTCCCTATCTGGCAGAAAGTTATATTTTATTTTGTGTGGGTGGTGCATACGTTAGTGTGCATACATAGGTGTGCACACTAGGAAACCAGAGCAGGAAACTGGAAGTCTTCCATTTTGGATCTCCACCTTAATGGCTTGCTTTTTCTTGAGTAAGCTGGGTGTCCAGAAAGCTCCCGAGATCCACCTATCACTGCTCTCTAGTTGTGGGTTTGCAGGCACACATGACATTTTACAGGGACTCTGAGGATTCAAATGCATGTCCTCATGAGTATAGAACAAGTGCTCTTACCCACTGAATGGTATGCCATTCTGCCAGCATGTTATTTTTAGTGATGTCAAATTATAAACAGTTACTATCAGTCCACATTGCCAGTCTTCCAAAAATAAAATAATGGTATGTATGCAAAAACTTCAAATCTTCCAACATATATTTGTTGATTACTTACCATGTACCAGGTATAAGTTCTTAACTGAAAATATACTAGTGAATGAAATCAAAGGTCAGACATACTACTTAAAAAGAAGTTCGCTGAGAAATTCTGAGGTCCTCAAAATTTCCATATTTGCTGAAAGCTAAATATGCAGCTTTGGACACCTGTTTTGTACCCTTTAGCCTCTCCCACTTTGAATCTCATTTTCCTGGACATAAGAAGCATATTCTCTCTATAGTTGGCTGTTCTACAAAGAACAATTGGGTTGGATAATCAAATCAAAAGGAATACCCAGTACAGTATTGGGTGGCCCTTGCTAGTTTGAGTTTGTCTTTCAAAGGTTCATGTGTTAGAAGCTTGTTCTACAGAAATAGTTTAGTAAGCAATGAGACCTTTTGGAGGTGGGGACTAACGAGTAGGAGGTCTTTATGCTGATTGGTAACATCTTCCTGAGCTTCTGTGCTCTCTCCCTCAGGTACACACTTCCCACCAGACACTATGCAGCAATGGTGACTTGACCAGTGCCAGCACCAAAACTGTGAGTTAAATAAATCTCCTTTCCTTATGAATACTCAACCTTGGGGATTTCCTTGCAGTAAGAAAAATGGGCTAAGAAACACTAGGGGCAACCATATCTGAGGACACTCAGTCCTCTACTCCCATTAACATGGCCTTTGGGAGATTCCTTTCCCAAGGTCGTATGTGACTGGGGCTCCCTGTCTCAGATATTGTAACCATGATGAGCAGCCCTCTGAGCCTCAGGCATAAGGGTGTGGGGAGTTTACCCACTCTAATTCTATACAGTCCTTCCTTTTACAAATAAGGCTTTCTTACAAGACAGATCTTCTCTTTTCTCCTCTTGATAAAGATTGCTTCAATTCCTCATTTATGTCTTGAAAGCTGTTGAACAACACAATGAAATGTTAATCTCCCATCTTGCATGCTGCTATAGTCTGAATGTTTGCATGTCTCCAAAAAATCACCTGCTGAAATCCCAGTTCCCAAGGTGATACCTTTGCGAGACCCTTGTAGGTCATGAGGATGGAGTTTTCTGGAATGATGTTTATAAAAAAACATTCTTCTTCTATCCTTTGATGGTTCATTGGGTCAAAATGTACCTGCTACCAAGCCTGATAGCCTGACCTGGATAGGAAGGAAAGAGCCAACTCTTCCTAGTGCCCTTTAACATTCACACACACACACACACACACACACACACACACTCAATCATGTACACAACACACAAATACACACATATAGATACACACCCATGCATATGCACACACATATACATGCACACACACACATGAACATATGCATACAGACACACAAATGCACATACAATAAATAAATAAAATGTAATAGAATAACTTTTAGAAAGAAGATATCATCTAAGAGGAAGCGCGTCCCACAATCCTGTGTTTGTTGTGTCCTGATCCACACTGCCAGCCTCCAGAAGTGCCTGGGCTTATGATTCCTTACAGTGATCCAAACGTGGACACATCACTGCATATTTTCAGATCTTGAATATTAACATTAACATTGCCCAAAGTTACCCTAAGAAAAGTGTGAGTCCTACCCCTCCCAAAAGAAATTAAAGTGAGTTTGCTTGTCTGGTGTGTTCCAGACTTCCAGGCTGAGAGTGAGATCCACACACACTGGAACTTCATGTCTGGGGTTGCTATAGCCAAGGCCAAAGTTGCTCAAACTGTAATTCACTTAAAATAAAAAGCTGGGCGGTGGTGGCGCACGCCTTTAATCCCAGCACTCGGGAGGCAGAGGAAGGCGGATCTCTGTGAGTTCGAGGCTGGGCTGGACCTACAGCCTCCAAGACAATACAGAGAAACCCTGTCTCGTAAAAACCAAAAAAAAAAAAAAGTTAATTAAACAATTCTTCTACCTCAAGAACAGCACAAACAGCTCAATGATCTTCCAGTAAACTGCATGTGCTGGACCCCACCCCCCAACACACAGGCATACACCACCCTCTTACCCTCCCCCACCCACACACCACAGGACTTTCCTGTGGGAACATTCCAACCCAAGCCTTGACTTTGGCGGCTATTTAGCTCGAAGCCCCCTCTCAAGAGAATGTGGTGACTGTGATTTCTGGCCCAAAGAGTTCAGTTGAAAACAGATGAGGTGTTTGGGGGAAATCCCCAGGGAGAAGAGAAATGAAGACACAGGCCCTGCATTATACCTCCCTCCTCACACGCTTCATCTGACCCACGTGACCTGGTGGGGAGGAGGTGGCTTTGGCTTTAGTGCCTCACTAGCTCCAGCAGGTTCCAATTGTTCGTGACTTTGGAACATATTCTTATAGATGTCAACTGCTTGTGCAATGAGATACCAAAATTCATTTCTACAGCACCTCTCTCTGTCCCAGGTGGGGGAAGCATTACTCGAATAGAGGCTTTAAAAACCAAAACACCAAAATTCTATTCCTTGAGCTATAAACCAAAGTCTTATAGCAAAAATGAGAGATGAGAGAAAACAAACAAACGCAAAACAACAACAACAACAACAAAACTGTTATTAAGGCATAAAAAGGCTACAAAATGTTGGGATATAGAATATCCAAGACTACCTACTATGGAGTTCAAGTTATTCTTAAGTACTAAAAGCAAGTGACAATGAGTTAAGCAATTTGAATCAGGAGTTTTCAGACTCTGAATATAATGATGCTATTTTGTTAGAGGAGATTAGTTTTCTTACTCACTATCACATTTTAAAAGTATATTTGTTCTCACAAAGTCACAGGTAGAGAAGAGAAAGAGCCACCGATCAGGGCTGTGGAGTGAGTGGCTGGGTAACTGGGAAGAGGTAGCTGAGAAGAAATAAAAATAGGAAATGCCAAGGAAAAGAAGAATGCTCAAAAATTAAGGTACTGGGCAGGGAATGGGCTCGATTCCTGTAGTTGTTTGAATAAGAATGATTCTTATAGGCCCATAGATTTGAATGCTTGGTCACCAGGGCCAAACCCAGGAGCCCTATTGCTGCTGCCTGTGCATCTGGATGGAGAACTGTCTGTGTGCCGGCAAGCTTCACCATGCTACTCACCATGCTGATAATGGATTAAACCTCTGAAACAGTAACAGGTTCCACTAAATGCTCCCTTTATACGAGTTGCTGTGATCATGATGACTTTTCACAGCAGCAGAACACTGACTAAGACAATTTCTAAGCAAGTAGACATTAACGTTTGTCTTGGAAAGGCTTGGGGGACAGCCTCATTGCTGAAGTACTTGCCTTTATGAGAACTTGTGTTCTAGCTACAGAACACCCACCCACCCACCCATGCCCACACACACAAAGCTGTACATGGTACTTTAACTCTATTGCTGGAGAAGTAGGCATACACACAGTATAATAAATACATAGAAGGCTACTCACACACACATAGCACTACACACAGAGTGCTGAATACACACAAACACATATGGGCACACACACACACACACCACAGGTACACACATGTATGCATAAACACAGTATCATACACAAAGATGGGGCTACACATAAATGACTTAGTGCTACACACACATGAACACATACACACAGTATAATAAATACATAGAGGGTTACCCACACACACACAGTGCTATACCCAGAGTGCTGAACATATACACATATGGGCACACACACATATCACACAGATATACAAATATCTGTGCACACACAGAGTATAATACACACACAGGGCTATACATAAGTACATAGTGCTACACAGAGTACTGGACACAGGCACATATGGACACACACACCTCACATTGGTACATACACACACACACACAGAGTGCTGATGTCTTTGCATAACTTTAAGAATGTTGACTATTTTGCTTTCTTTCCTTACCCATAAAAAGGAGACAAGCCTACTCAAAGGGTTGTGGGGCTTGAATTAGACTATGTAAACTAAGTATCTGTAATACATGATGCTCAGCCTTACGTATGGCACACAGACACAACCTTATTGGTAGGTAGCATTCTTGTCATTGTTGTCACTGCCATCATGTGCCTTATTAGTGAGAATAAAATACATTATTTTAAGCCCCGTATTAATCTAGAGAATAGCTATGTAGGCATCTGTGAACTGGTAATGGTGGCCACACCCCTTTGGGATGGAAGTGGAAGGAGGTAAGCTTTCCTTCCCTCGATGTTTTTAATGGGTCAGCCAATCCGGTAGGATAGTCAGGGAAATGCTCTCACGGTTCTTTGCATATTTTGTGTAATTGTTCCCCAATAAACATCCATTTATCATTTATCTTTGGTTTAGCGAAGTCATTACAACCTTACCTTCATTTTGGTGCCCAGCATGATTGGGTATGTCCCTGCGACCACCCAAGTGACTGGCTGTACAGCCCATGGCTTTTGCATTTGGTCCAGTCACTGAGTTTTCTGCACAGTTCTGCGGCCTGTCCTGGGAAAAGCCAGTACTTCATTGTGTCTTTTGTGTGCTGTGGATTTGTGGGTAGCCCAAAGCTTTGAGTTGCAGTAGTTTTTCTTTTCACTCAGATTTGCTTGCTGGACTGCAAGATTCCCTATGAGCCAACAATTACCCAGATCTGCATGTTTCAGGAATCTACTTAAGTACAATTAACTACCCCAGAGCAATGACAGATAATATTATCATACAGGAGGTAAAAAATAAATAAATAAATAAATAAATAAATCTTTTAGTTTCTTATATGGATGGGATTTTGGAAGAGGTTTATGACTTACCTGGAACATATTTATTATTCATGGTGGCAATTAGCTTAATAATATATATAATATCCTTAAAGAAATGGTTTGATAATAGAGCAAAGAATGAGGAACCTATAGGAATCATACAGACTTTACAGACTGGTAACGAGACCTTAGTAAAAAGGATTCATACCATCGAAAACACTTTACAAATAATGTGAGATTAGGAAAAAAGGATTCAGAAAATTGAAAATGGCACATAAAACTGACCAGCTAACAGAAAAAAAATTGTTCCATGTCTGATGACTCGACAAACAGAATGCAAAAAATAGAGCATAAGACTGAAATACTAACAGCAAAAGTTTGTTCCATGTCTGAGACTAATGACAAGCTAGAAGATAAAACATTGCTTTTGGAAGACAATTACATGCCATTCAGATAATCTCTAAGGATGAGAATACTAAATCTTTGGAATCATATAAAAGAAGAGAACAAGAAACTGACTGATTTAATGAAATCCTTAGAAATTTATAGTGTCCAGGAAATTCAAACACTCAGAGAAACAATGATGACTAGACTACAGGCCATAGAAAACCTTAAAATTTATATGCCAGAAGCGGAGGTACAAACAATAGAGGATGAAAGGGATTTAATATTATCGGTACCTTTCAGAGTCAGAGATGATTTACCAAAGGTCATAATGTCATCTCTATGGCTTAAGCTGTTACTGTTACTGAAAATCCAGCAACTAAAATAACCCAAAAGGATTTGTTGAATGTCATTGGGAGCCAATATGCATGAAAGATTTAAAAAGTATAAAGGAAGCAATAGTCTCTTATGGCATGCATTCACATTATGTGAGGCAATTAGTAGAGTCATGGATAGCAAGATACAGGGTGACTCCTAATGGTTGGGGTCAATTAGTCTCAGCAGTACTTGAAATTGGGCCTCAAATTGAATGGTGTGATTTATGGAGGGAAAAGTCACTTGAACTTCAAGACCAAAAGAAATGTTATAAGGCCCCCCAAGACAAAATTCATGGTGAGGTTCTTTGTGTTGATGCAGAGACTCAAGCAACATATGATAAACACATCTTGTCCCTATGCCATACAGTAGCCTTGGGATAAGATTCAAGAACTAGGGAAAATAATTGAGTCCTATACTAAGGTGTTACAAGACCTGAAAGAACAATATAGTGAATTTCTGCAAAGATTGACGAGAATGGTACAAATAGGGGTAGCAGATCCAGAAGCTAAGTGACTACTCATAGAATTTCTAGCTTATGAGAATGTTAATTCACAATACAAAAAGGTGTTCTGGCCCTTAAAGATCAGATCTGCTCCATTGGATGAATGTATCCTGCACACAGCCAATATTGAGTCTAATGATTATGACACTGAGGTAGGAGAAACAATCTCCAAAGGTATGAAAAGACATCAAAATAGTGTCAGCGAGAAGGCCTGGGCAACCTAAGGGGCCCTGAGCTGTGGATCAGTGTCTATCCCTGGAATACAAACAGTCATTGTGTGCCCATAGCACAAAGAGGGATGCTCTCTCAGCCTGGACTCTTAGGAGAGTGCCTGGACCCTACCCGGAGTGAAATGACAGACTCTAGATATCCCCTATGTGGAAGAAATTGGCAATAGGGTGGGAGGCTGGGGGGGGGGGGAAGGGGAGTGCGGGAGGAGGGGAGGGAGAAGGAACTGGGATTGACATGTAAAACAAGCTATTTAAAATTAAAATAAAAAAGCAAAAAAAATACCAAAAATTTTAATTATGGTAGAATAGGACATCTGAGAAGAAATTAAAGACAAGGCATTCCTAGAAATACTGTTTCTTCTAGTAATAACTCAAACAGAAGGTCCCAATCTTCTGGATTATGTAGAAGATTTGGCAAAGGACCAATGAATGTAGATCGACCAGTGACAAACAAGGAAACCCTTTACCATCTGGAAATTCCTTGGGGGGGGCCTCTCAAAGACCCCTATGTGGAAAGTGGTTCAGTCATTCTCAGTCACTTTGGAGGACAATCCTCCTTAAAAAATTAGAAAATCCAGTGTCTGTTGTAAAAAATCATACCACTCTGGATGGCAGATTAACTTTGGAGGATGAGTCAAACATTCATGGAGGAAACAAAAAAAACATATATTTTGGCAGACTTCTATAAATGATAGAAGACCTAAATTAAAAGTTCAAATAAATAACATTATACTTGAATGGTTGCTGGACATAGGAAAGGACATTACCATTAAAACTCAAGAATCTTGGTATCCAAGTCAGCCTCTGCAGGTCGTAAACGTTCAGTTCTTCGGGATTGGAACCCTATCTCAGGTAAAACAAAGCATAAGATAGGTTGAATGTATAGGGCCAGGAAGACAAAGAGGAAGGCTGAGGCCATATGTGACTGTATAGCAACAAATCTATTGAGTCATGTTCTATCGAAGTCATGGAATACCCATATTAACATTCCTCCAGTATCAGATATGAACCATAAACAAATTCATGGTTGTGGAAAAAATATTGTAAGGAACTATATAAAACAGTCTGTACAAAAACAGAATACAGGCGCCAAACTAACAGAAGAACCAAAAGCCTTACCCTTAAAGTGGCTAACTGATGAGCCTGTTTGGATATCTAAAGAATGGCCTATCATAGTTAATGATTTAAAAGACTGTTTCTTATTATACTTTTCAAGAAAGGGGTAAGGAGGAATGTGCCTTCACAGTGCCTATGTACAATAATTCTCAGCCAGTCAGGAGATATCTTGCCACAGGGAATGTTAAATAGCCTCACCCTGTGTCAATATTTTGTGCAAAAAACATTGGAAATAATTCATAAACAGTTTCCACAATATATAATTTACCATTATATGGATGATATATTGTAGGCTGATTATAAGGCAGCAACATTAGAAAAAATGCTTGAGGAAGTAAAGGAAGTCTTACCTCATTGGGGATTACAAATTGCCCCCCAAAAATGCAAAGAGGAGATTTTTATTAATTATCTAGGATATAAATAGGTCTACAGAAAATTAGACCACAAAATGTATAGCTCAGGAAGGATCAATATTAGACTCTCAATGATCTTCAAAAATTGTTAGGAGAGATTTTCCAGCTACAGACCATAATTGGAGTAGAAGGACATGATCTAAAAAAAATCGAAAAAGACCCTAAAAGGGGACAAGAAAATTATCAGC